TGACACTCAGAAGTTCGGATGAAATCTTGTGTGCCGATCTGAATGTGGTGGTCGGTGCAATGGATTAAAGTAACGACGATTTTTGAAGTAAGGTTTAGTTTCGTTTTTTTTTATTTTTCTCATTCATTCATTTTTTCCCTCAATCTTTCAAATTATTCTTCCATTAATTGACGTTAATTCATTCTATTCATTCATTCATTCTTTTAACTAATTATTTAATCATTCAGTTCATCATTTATTCGTTCGTTCCTTTGTTCCTTGATTTACTATTAAGCTAATAAAAATAACTTTTTACAGAATGATAAGAGGTTGGCTGTGATGGGCGTCAGCACGTTTCACATGATGGTCTCATGATGATCGTTTCGATGACAATTTGAAGAAAACAACAACGACGATTTTTGAAGTATGGTTTAGTTTTTTTTTTATTTTTCTCATTCATTTTATCACTATCTTTCAAATTATTCCTCCACTAATTGATTCATTCTATTCATTCGTTAAATTATTGATTGATTGATTAATTAATTATTCATTCATTCAAACAGTCATTCAATCATTCAGTTAATCATTTATTCGTTCGTTCTTTTGTTCCTTGATTATTTACCAACACGCTAATTAAAAAAAACTTGTCTACAGAATAATGAGAGGTGGGCTGTGGTGGGCGTCAGCATGTTTCAGATGGTGGTCTCATGATGATCGTTCCGATGACAATTTGAAGATAAAAGAAAATTTGTTCTTGTACCATCGTACCATTGAAAGTACTTGAATTTGTCATCTCAATAAGATAAGTTGCCTTTTTTCCAATGGCTTGTTTTTTACTTTAAAGAATTATTTTTTTTTTTCAATTTAGTGTTTTTCAGTATCCGGTCAAATTCATTCCATCGATGCGTGTCAGATGATGGTCGGTGCAATGGAGGTTCGTCCATAGTGAGTGAAGAAGTTTTTGGAGAGTACACGCCCGCACATTTACACACACACATCAATAAAACACACACATACACAACATCCATTCATTCGGTGTCGTTGTTGTTATGTTTTTCTTCAACTTTCTATTTTCTTTACCAGACTTAATTTAATTCGTAGGTAAGTTAGGGATTGAGATGAGTTGAACAATCGTAGGTAGGCAAGGGCTTAACATTAGTTAAAAAGTTTCAAGTAAAATAAAAACGCTGAAATATGTAAAATAAAATACCTAAAACATGTAAAATTCCAAAAACGTAGAAAAACATATTTGTAGGTAGGTGAGTTGAGTTAATGATTATAAGTAAACTAGGGCCCTGAGAGTAATTTAATTGTAGGTAGGTGACTGACTACTATTCTTGCGATTTTTTACTAGTTTTTTGTGATGTGTTTGTTTTCGCTTCACAGCCCCACACCAACAAAACAAACTACATTTTATTCTCGTCGTCGCCTTAAATTTTACCTTTTTGAACAATCTTTTTAATAATGTCTATTTATTTATTTAATAATTTATTAAATGTTGACTGGTTTCTAGTTTTTTTAAATTTGGTTATATAATTTTTGGATGTTTCTTGATTTAATAAAAGCAACTACTGTGTTTTTCTTTCTTTACTAAAATCTCGAAATTGTTTGTAGATCTGTACAGTTAAGTGTTTGTTCGAGTTTGAACAAGCCTTGCAAATATTTTTCAAATATGGTTCATTGATTGGTCGATTGGTTGGTTCATTAGTTGATTGAATGAATGGTTGGTTGATTGATTGGTTGATTGATTGATTGATCTCATAGTATTGTATATATGAAAAAAAATCCGATTAAGCCAACATACGGCTTTACTTGGCCACTGTATTTTACCAGACAAAAGCAATTTCTTTCTTTATATTGACAAAAATAATTGTGATATGAATATATCGACTTACCGCTATGACACT